GTTATCCTGCCTCACCCTGTAGTTATTACATCCATATCCTCCACGCAAGTACTATTATACACATCATCTAAAATTTTAAAAGTTACCTAGCTATGTAAAAAAAAACTTTAATAAAATTTTATGTTAAAAGTTTTAAAAGTTCCAAATGTTCTCTATAGCAAAGCAGACACATTCTCTTGTCACTCGATGTTAAGACTTCTCATATCTTCTCATATTTAGTAGTCTTTCAATATTCTTTGGACGTATTATTTTAATTTTAATTACTGCCATATAAATCCATGGGTGTTTTTTTTTTTTTTTGACAGTATGAAGTCCTTTTGCACTCTTGTGGTTTCCCATCTGCCCTGAATGAAAGGTTTTAAATGGCATGGAATAATTTTCCAATGTTTACTGTAAGAAACATCCTTTGTGGTATTTTGTATGAGTGGCCGTCATTGTGGGTCTGTTTACATTTGCATAAATAGCAGTAGGGGATAGAAAGCAGTTTTAGACACTTGAGTTGTGATGATTAGACTACTGCAGGAGAGACCCTGGTAGCACAATTTCCAAGTGCTGCTATATTTTCTTGGGAATTTGGCAGGACTAGTGTTAAGAACAGATTTGTCAAAAGTAGTGGAAATAATAAAGGGAACATATCGGTTGTCAGATTCACCTTGTATTTAATCTCTCTGGCTAAGGTCAGCTTGAGGCCTCACCAACATAGGGGAAGGAAGACTTCCTGAGACCTTTATGTATACAGCTCTGATTCCTTGGGAGAAGAGGAAGATCATGTAACATTGATGAAAGAAAGTGCCATCTGCTCATTCCATCTCTCCTTTTGCTAAACGAGATATTGCCAGGCATTGCTTTTGTATCTTTGAACATCACAAAGATAAATAATTATTTGTTCCCCAGAATATACAGTTGGGGCTTATGTATTTTGTATGAGATTTCATTTCCTGTGGCCACACACAGAAATATTTAGCCCTGCATATCCAGCTAGAATATTTGTACATCTGAGTCACTTATTGCACTGCCACAGTAAGTTAAGATTGCAGGTCGCAGGTTTGAATCCAGGGAGAGTGCGGATGAGCTCCCTCTATCAGCTCCAGCTCTCCATGCAGGGACATGAGAGAAGCTTCCCACAAGGGTGATAAAACATCAAAACATCTGGGCATCCCCTGGGCAATATCCTTGCAGACGGCCAATTCTCTCACAGCAGAAGCGACTTGCAGTTTCTCAAATCGCTCCTGACACGACCAAAAAAAAAAAAGCTAATGATATTTTTGGGAATGTTTAGTAGTATACAGCCTTTGTTGCAGAACAGGAACTTCTTATATTATGGCACTTTTTTCATGACACCACCAGGCTAGATAGAGGAATATGGTTATCTGAATTTTCTGAAGAGTGTCTTTCTTTCCTTGTAAGTCAGTGGTTCCCAACCTGTGGGTCCCCAGGTATTATGGCCTACAATTCCCAGAAATCCCAGCCATTTACCAGCTGTTAGGATTTCTGGAAGTTGAAGGCCAAAACATCTGGGGACCCACTTCTTGAGAACCACTGTTGTAAGTAGTTATCACAAGGATTGATTAAGGATGGACAAATCTGTCAAGTTGGATTCTACTCTGGTTTTTATTTTGATAGCAATAATGCTCCACTCTCTTATCAATTCAGTTCATCAAAGTTTTGGAAATATTTTATCCACATTCCTCCTGTTGTGTGCATTTTATATGCAGTTTCTGTAGTCTGTGTGATTTCCCCAGATACCTGTTTTGTGCACACTTTCTGCTATTGTTCTTATTTTTACGTGAACTTCCCCATTGTATTTATTTTTATCCCAAAATATCAAGCAGGAAATCCCACATTATCTGAGTGTGGACTCAGATAACCCAGTTTAAAGCTGATATTGTGGGATTTTCTACCTTGATATTCTGGGATATAGGGCTGTGTGGAATGGCCCTGGGACTAACAAGGAGACACTTCATCCAGAGAGACAGATGAAATTTTAGTGAGAATGCAAGAGTTAGGAATACATATTTGTACTGTTTTGATGTGGTGCTTAATCTGAATGGTCAAGTTCACTTCTTTCCTCCATGATGATCAGATTGCAGTTGTGATCAGAAATGTTTTTCCATATCACTTCTGCACTTACTAGAAAAAGTGCACATGGACTACTGCTTTTTTTGTGCTGGACTGAGGCAACTAGTTCTTTGTTTCTTTGGAGAGTTTTTGGAATCTATAGGTAGGTAAAGGTAGTCCCCTGACATTAAGTCCAGTCATGTCTGACTCTGGGGTGTGGTGCTCATCTCCATTTCTAACCCGAAGAGCCAGTGTTGTCCATAGACACCTCCAAGGTCATGTGGCCGGCATGACTGCATGGAGCGCCGTTACCTTTGGAATCTATAACTGGTCCAATATACAGCTGCCAGAGTAGTTTGGGATCATACTATTTGGGACATATTACTCTAATGACAGCCTGTCTATACTGGGTTCTAGTTTATTTTGGAATGAAGTTCAGAGGATTGATTATCACCTTCAAAGTTTCAAATGAGTTGAAGAAAATATTCAGAGGGATACATGCTTCTATACCAGAGGGACATAGTTCTTCTCACCAATGTGAAAAATAAACAAAGGAGGTTCTCTGCCACATTATGATCTTAGACTGATGGATATAGTCTTATTTTGGTAGTGGAGCATAGACTTAGGAAGTTACCTAGGCGCTTTCTTGTTGATTTTAGAAAAACAACAAGCTTTATGTAGATTGCAGTTGGTTACTTTCATTGGTGTTCTGGGTGCATCTTTTGTTTTATCTTCGGTGCTAATTTGTAAACTTCTTGCTATTACTGTGTTTGCAGATTTCCGCATACAAAACTAAACAAGGAATATCGATCATTGATCACTTTGGCAGTATAGTTTATTTGAAGATAGGTTTATAATTTTAGCAATTTTTCCTCAATATTTGAAGTTTAGAGTTGGACATTTAAACTTAAGCCATTAGGGGATAGTACAGACGGAATATAGGAACCATGATGGATGCGTTGAAAGGAACCGCTGTTCATATATATTTGAAAGAAAATCTTATAATTAGGCATGTTTTTTCTTTGTGAAAATGAAAACTAGGAACCTTCCATTTTTTAGCAACTGTCCAGAAGAATTTCATGTTGTTGCCAAGGCAACTGACCATTATATTGCATTAGAGCTACCATTTAACCCTTCATTCATGAATTTTGTTTGCAATATTAATATGGCTTGGGACAATACTCAGCCCCACTTCATCGCCACACTCTGACAGTTCAGCATTGTACCACATGGCTGCTTTAAAATATACACACTCCAAATATCAGGAGACTGGCTTTTCCACTTATCGTGTATTCCTTAGGTAAAACTTCACATTTATTGCTCTCTTTGCACTTGATACAGTTGTAGCCATACAGTCCTAGCTAAGAACTCACTGCACCTCAAATTTTATTTTTAAATGTGCAATTGCCCTCTCAACACAAGGCAACAGCTTTTCATTGTAAGTAAAAGACTCAAAACCCTTGTGGAAATGAACCAGTTTTGCTTCTTGTTCACTGCTTCTGCAAGAAGGGTGGGTCGGGTGGAACTCTTAAATGCCACTGTCATTCGCCCCCTTCCCCATCCTCCCCCTCCCCTCCATCCGCCTACTGCGTAGGGCCTGTTTTCTGCCCCTGACAGTTTTCTGCCTAACAAATGGTGTTTCTTTTTTACAGCATAATGATCCGGGACTTGTTGTGGTGATGGTAAACTTAGTGGTAATTTTTATTTTTCAGACTGAATTTACTTCTTTTTTTGTCATCAGAGCACCAAATATGTTAGGCTTACTTTTCTCTGTTGTAGCCTTCATCTTTTCTGCTTGGTCTTTTCATTTCCCTTTTTTTCCTTTCCATTTCTTCATGCACTCTTTTGTGTCTGATCCTTGTTCATTGAGGGTTTAATGCTCAGAAGGGATGTTTGTGTTAGAATTGCCAAAAAATTGTGGAGAATCACTTCAAATTTCTAATATTGTCCAAACTTGATTCCCCCTCCCTTCCCTTTCTCCAACATGTGGTGGGTGTTAGTAGTTGCTATGGAGATTTTATAGCTAATTGAAAACTGAACACTTTGACTGCCTTAGAAAGCAAAAGTACTGATACATTCTTTACATTATGAAAGAGTGTGCTGCAATCATAAACGTGGATTCATCTCCTGAAGAAACTAAACATGGGCGAGGGGCATTTTATCATTTAAATAAGCTACCATAAATTTGGTCCTTTTGCTCAAAACTGCAGTCACTGCTTCTAATACCATTGGGCATAAAATCCATTTCCTCCATCCTTGTTCCTGAAAATGTGTGTATAACTATATAAAAGTTGCATTAGGTAAAATGCTATTGAGTAAATGACTAGTGTTTCCGGGTATGAAGCTCTTAGACCAGGCTTCCAAATTCTGAATGTATCAAAACTGACTTTATTAAAAAAAAAAAACCTCCTTGATTTGGAATCACTTTGAAATTTATTCCTAAGTCAATATACCATATGTCTCAGAGAATCTGGGGTTGGTTTTATCTTCATGTTCATGGAATCTCATATGCAACAAATTCTTCAAGTCTTTAAAATAAACCCTCTCGCAGTAATTTTGTGAGGATGCCCAGAATTCTTATCTTATAGATAAGGAGCGGATAAAAGGCCACACAAACCCTTTGACTTAAGTGAAGCATGAACCCAAGTCTCCCAGGTACAACACTGGCAGCTGGACCACACTAGCTGCCATAAGTTGAAAATGTGTTGATGAGAAACTTTTTCAGACATGGGTTCTCTAAAGCCACACCTTTTGTGCCGCATGGAGTGACTTTAACAATCTAGTCTCCTTATTTTGGCACAATTCAAGCTTGGACTTACTTTGGCCCAAGGGTATATAATATATGTGTATGTGTGTATAACAAAGACAGAAACTATTATTGACAACAATTCCCCACCAAGACCAATAATAAGGGAAGTAAACGTTCTGTTTTTTCACTCAAGGTATGCACCGGATAAGGTAAGTAGCTCCTTTTTTCCAGTGGCCTTACATCACAACTCACAGCGCATGTTGTGATGTAAAAATAAACACCCCCAAAGGCTGTGATAGTCAAAGTGCTCGTCTGCCCCATTTTGCTTTGTTTGGCTGGTTATGAGTGAATTAAAAATACATACGGAATCTTCAGCATAGTTTGATTAGTTTCAAAGTCAGTTTTCTTCGCAACTAGTCCTTTTCACAGCTTGCAAGTAAAAGATAGGGCCAAAGCTTCGTGACAGAATCCAAGAGTATTATTGGAGAATTGGTGAACGCTTTATGCCTTCTGCTCTTCCGAAGAGGGAAGAATTCCAATTTCACTCTCTTGAAACTGTAGGTCTAAACTACTTGCTTGGCATGCATTCTTGCATTTTTAATAAATGTAACATTTCTGATCTCCAACCAAGATGTTCAAGAAAACTCAAGGTTTTATTTACCTCATAAATATTGTCTCTCAGTATCTGAGAGGCGATAGCTTTTCTCTCCCTCCCCCCTCCCATTTTTTAATCTTGTGGTGTGTGGGTGTTTGATTTCAATATTAAGTTCCGCAAACATCAGAGCTGAGAACTTCAAGCAGCAAAGGATAAGACCAGGGCAAGTCTGGCACCTGAGATGTGGCAGCTTGTGATTGTAAGCTGTGAGAATGGCTTGTGTTTGGTTCTCTGTAGCTTTCTGGTCTCTGCACTCCAAAGGCAAGATCTCTAACCAACCCAAACCCAATGTGTACAAAGCGACTCACCAGAGGCTGATATTCTTCTTCAGCCACCAATCTGACCAGTCTTCTTTCCTTACAGGTAGGACAGATCCCATCCCGATTGTTGTCAAATATGATGTCATGGGCATGGGACGGATGGAAATGGAGGTAAGAGGGCCCTTCTATAGATACTTTAGGCATTGTAGAAACAATTAATAAAATGTTTTTATGATTTTTTCTTCTTTTGGAACAATTCTGATGACAGCTGGTGGCTTTAATTTCACTTGGTTTAATGGCAAAACAATTAGTAGCACAGTTTTGGGTGAAATGAGTAATACTGACTCATTACACCAAACTGTTGCTGGGGAAGTCTTTTTCTTTTTTACTTTCCTGTATTTTTAATTGATTTCCATCTTTAAATGCACAAAACCCTCAAGGCATGTTACTAAGAAGTCACATAATGCAATACTTTTAAATGAGTAAATAACAACTAGCAATAATTATTTTAAAGTAAACCCAATTGCCTCATTTTCCAAGTAGTGAGTTAAGTAAACATGCTTTAGGCTAAGTGTTCACAGTCTGGCCCTCCAGATGTTTTGGACTTTGGCACCCCGAATAAACATTGGTCAACCTGGTTAAAACTTCTGGGAGTTGAAATCCAAAGCATTTGGAGACCCAGACTTTGACAACCACTGCTTTAGGCCAACATTTCCTTAAAATCGTGCCCTTCATGTTTTTTGGTTAGACATTATATGGAGGTTGTAGTTGCAGAGATTGGGCACCACATTGGAGAAGTTTTCATTAGCTTCTAAAAATACAGTACTTCAGTTGATAGCCATCCCCTTGGTTATTTTTTAAGATCTTGAATTAATCCCTACACTAATCCAGAAGAAAAGACACTATGTGTACATTTTGGCATCAGTTAACAGATCGGTGTGTTGAATTACAGCTTCAGTTGCACATTTATAAATCCAGTGAAATATGCTTATGCTTGTTTTTTGTGGACCAGAGTTCTCTTGTACTTAAATTAAATGCTTACAAGTAGCGCAAACAACATCTAATGTGTAACTGTAGTGTCTACCATTTAGCTACTGCTAACTGATGTTTAAAGACACCTACTTTAAATGCTTACTGACTAGTCACTCAGTGTAGTCGATTTCAGGTATCTTGGGGACTTGTATGAACTCAGATGGATTTTCTAATACCTTTCCCTGCAGCAGTACACCTTCCTTTAAGAAGCAACAATTTTTAAAACCATCATTTCCTGTCCTTTGAGCAGTCAGAACTAGTTGCGTGATGCTGTGGAACCTGGTCAGTACCCTGGAAAGGTGTTCTGTCTAACATGATCAGAAATAGTACATCTTAGTCTCAGAGATGCAAACATCTCTATGGGATTAAGACATGCACATTTTTACAGAACATTGACCAAAACTGTAACAGCCTAGCACTTGAGCAGAAGATGCCACCATTCAATGGGGGAATGGCTGTTTTTTCTTCTTCATTCTAATGTTAACCCCTTCAGTTTGCTGAATCTCACTATATCAAATTCTACTGAAACATCAATATCAAACCCCAAAACTGAGTGACCAAAGGACCATGAAAACCTTCCTGTGGATGCAGTCACCTAAATTTTAGTCCCTATTGGTTTGCTTCTTATCTTTCCTAATAAAGACAAAAGCTACACCAACTTTTATTTCAACCTCAATTTCTCCTGAATTCATGATATAAATAAGATATAAATAAATAATTTTGTTTTTAATTCATAGACTGTTGTCTCTGTGTTCAAAGTTCCATTAAAGCTTGGCAACTGAAACCCAGCTGCTGGTTTTGCACTGCAGTTTCCACAATCTTTCATTACGTCCCAAATGAAGCCCCTGCCAACTCTTTGTGTCCCAATGAGATCCCTTCCAATGCATGCTTTTTTACATTCATTAGATTTTGGTGTCAGTTGAACAGATTCCTGTCCCATATCAGGAGATTTCAGGATGTCTTAGAAATAGGCCGAAAGTAGCAAGAAGGTATACATAAGTAAAAAAAACAAACATATAAAACAACACAGTGAGTTCAAAGCAGGTTATAATTTTTAAAGATTTTAATACCACAAATAACAGATTTAGTTGGAATTATTAATGCTTATTGGCTTTGGCAAACAGTCAAACTTCAACTTGGTGCATACATGACAAGAATATTGGCACCAGTTAGGCCTCCAATATAATAATAATAATAATAATAATAATAATAATAATAATAATAATAATAATAATAATAATCTTTCTGTATTTTCCACCCTCTCTCACCAATGGGACTCAGGGCAGATTCCAAGGAAAAAGCATTCCACAGTTAGGATGTCACAGCTAAGAGAGCCCTCTTTCCTAACTCAGTATAGTGTTGACTTCACTAATGGAACACAGAATAGTCGTCCGCCCCCCCCCCCCCCCCAAGCAGATCTCAATTCTTGGACAGGCACGTATGGGGACAACAGCTTTCTCAGTCATCATCATCATCTAGCCTTTCTCCCAATAGGGACTCAAGTAGCTAACAATGACATGACACAACCCAATAAAATTTTAAAACAAGGCATATACAAAAATTGAAAACATTAAATATTTCTGTCACAAATGCAAAGTTAAAATATTATAAAAAATAAAATAAAAAACAAAAAAAACATTTAAAAGCTCAACACTCCCATCCCCCAAATCCCACCCATAGCTTCCCCAGCAGCCTGCCCATCACCATTCTCTGAATCAGGCCTGCACAACTTGGGTCTTGTAGAGGGCCAATACTACAAAAGAAAAACATCTTCAGCCCACTACTCCCTCCTCCCCTCCCTGATGGGAAGGCACGCATGAAGGGGAAGCCCGCCCTTTTGTCAGCCTCGCTGTTCCCTTCTTCAAGGGTACCATTAGGTAGAGTTCATTACAGTGACTAATTGGGAGGTTACCAGCATACAGATTACTGTGGCTGGGTTCTGTCTATCCAAGAAAGGCCATAGCTGGTGCAGTAGTCAGAACTGGTGCCAAGTACTCAGAACCAGAATCTGCTTTGGTTTCTAGTGATAGGCATGGCTCTATGAGTGCTTCCAAGCTATGCGTCTGCTCTTTCGGGGGATGTACAATCATATTCAGAAAAGGCTGTTTACCCAGTTACTGAACGCAAGAAAGTTTAGTCCATAAAACTGTCTTATTTGGAGTCAGCTTCAGTTTATTGGCTCTCATACATCCTATTACAGCATCCAGGCACTTGTGCAGCATCTGTACAGCCCCGATGATAAAAGGAGAAATAGGTCTGAGTGTTATGTACTGATGCCACCCCTCTCCAGACGCTGTCATGACTTCCCCCAGTAGCTTCATGTAAATAATGTCTGAACACGAATCTTCTAGTGGTACTGTTTGGGACCTACTCTTTAGGTAGAAGTGGAATAACCACATAAAATTTCTCCTACACCCATTCCACAGAGTCAATCCAATAAGATACTATGGGCAGTGATATCTAAAGATCCAGCACTGTTCCTGTCATGCCCCTAGAGCAAGTCATCGATCAGAGCAACCAAGCCATTCAGTGTCATACCCTGGCCTGAAATCAGACTGAAATGAATGCAGATAGTATTGAGAACAGTTTAAAGAAATCTATTACTTTGCTAAATGTGTTAAATAATGAGAAGATTACTGCATGAACAAAGACTTGCAAGGCTGAGTCTTTTTAATAGAAGACACAAAAAGCATATAAAATAATGATCTCTTTTGAGATAATTCTGAGTCATCTATTGGAATTATGGGCGGATTCAAGAAAAATAAGAGGAAGCATTTATCTGTCAGTTTCTAGTTAATTTATGGATGTTTTAAAGTTGAAAATGACTATGAGAATCTTCAGAGCAGTCTATATTTGGGAGAGAGAGATGATCCACCACTTATAAGTCCTTAATATAAGTTGTGTGACATTTTATTTCCTGGTGAAACCTTTTTTAAAAATCTATATAAACTAAGGGTAAGAAATTTCCAGTAGTGGCTTAACGATGGCATAGGTAGCAGATCCATGGTGAGAGAAAGGAAGAAATAGAAATTTCGGATTGAAGGCCACATCCAATTCCCCACATTTCAGATCATGCCACCTGTTTTTACAAAGATTTCCATGACTCTACCCAGTGTCTCCAAGGTAGAAAAGCAGCATCTTTGGAGAAGAACCTGTTCAGCAAAGACGGTCTCATTTATCCCATCCTAGTCCTTGCCGTAGCGCTCACTGTTAGGATTATTCTATTAAAATTGGATCTCTTCTGTACACAGGCAACTTATATGAAAACATCACAAAGCAATAATTAGAGCATATACTTTTTACACAGGACATTTAAATTCCACTCGCTCACATCTGCAATTAAATCTCAGCTAAAGGGCTTTGGAAAGACCTCTGCCTGAGATCTTCTTGTGCTGCTTCCAGTCTAGCAATACTGACCTGTAATAAGGCAGCTTGAAATATCCATATTAAAGCAGAGATGGAGAAACTGTGGTCTGCAGGCTGCATATAATCCCAACTTCTTTTTGTGTGTGGCCCTTAAACCACTGAATTACCACCACCAGATAATCCCCAGGAACACCATCTGAAGCAGCATTTCTTTTGACCTTACCAAACTGGCTAAAAATTCGCCCAAAACACCAAATGCAGAAAACAAGTAGATTAATGACCAGTTCCAGGTTCTACTTTCAGCTGAAAACATAGCAATGTGATCTGTTGGTGAGAGTTTCTCCCTCTCACAGTTCCCTCTCCTGCGTTAGATTATAGATAATGAATTTTCTGAGTCACTGTTAGGAGTTCCCCAGCAAGAATTACTATATTCTTACATATGGAGTTCACAATTTGGGGATAAGGTGTAGGGGCTTGGGCTATACATTTGTGCTATACATTTGGTATGTGAGTAATGCACAGTATATGTAACTAATTGTTTTCTTTCTTTTTTGGTGGATTAGCTGGACTATGCTGAAGATGCCACGGAACGAAGAAGAGTTTTGGAAGTGGAGAAGGAAGATACCGAAGAGCTAAGGCAGAAGTACAAGGTACTTCTGTCGATGGTTAATTGAGGAATTCCTGGAAATGTTGCATGCCATACTTGTTTCCCTTCAATGGAAGCATATTTCTGTGGACTAAAGTACCTCTATGTGGACAGTATGTATGGAAGAGAGGCGGGAGAGAAACGGCTGTTTGTTAGTGGAGCACTGGCAAAACTCTGGACATTTTAGTCCCAGCTGGAATTTGAGATACTTTATTTCAAAAAAATCCTGAAATAGTATGTGCTGTCAGGATTAATTTAGTTTATTTTTTATCTTAGCTGTTGAGAGACCCTGAGTATGCACTCCAGTTTGGTATCCTTCTGTCACATCACTAATTAGCAGAAATCCTGGGGAAACAAAGAAGAATGTGGGAGGCTGAAAACAGTCCATCCCCTTGGTGTGCTATTGGATTTATGATGCCTCACCCTCACCCAACCCTATCCATCCCAACCCACCTCCTAAGGTCAGGGCTGCTGTGTGAATGTTCACAGGACAGCATCCTGAGGCAGGCGTGGCAGAGACATTGATGACTCCCGCCTTCAACATGCCCACATGTTGTGTAAGTGTTCAAAAGGATGCCATATCTCCTTAAGATGGACACCAGGGTGGCAATGATGACTCACCCACCTCTTGAAGACATGGCTGCTGTATGAATGTTCAAATGCTCTGGGCTTTGGAAAAGGGGTAGTGGCAATGGAGTCTCATACCCAGGCATGCATTCTTAGTGCTTGCTGTGAACCAGGGAGGAGGGAATTGACCTACTGTTCAGTATTCACAGTTTCCCTGCTTTTGCAGAGTTTCTGCTCCCCTAACCCATGCAAATGGAGGACCAGCTGTATTTGTACTCTTATTTGTTCTCCATTACTCCCAGTTTCTTCTGCATCTGGCTCACAAGTAACATCAGTTCTAGATGTTGTGCATTGAGGTGGTACAAAATAATTTATACAGAACAAATGAAAAGGATCATAGTTTCACTAGTGAGTTAAGGAGGAGCAGCTAAATAAGACTTCAATAGTACAAGATTCAGTGCTGAATGAAAGCCTTCCATGGGCATTTTTGGCTGCAGGCTGGAATTTTAACAGAGTTTTAATACCTTTTGCTGTTGCAGGATTATGTGGATAAAGAAAAAGCTATTGCCAAGGCACTTGAAGATCTTCGAGCCAATTTTTATTGTGAGCTCTGTGATAAGCAGTACCAAAAGCATCAAGAGTTTGACAATCACATAAATTCCTATGACCATGCCCACAAACAGGTAAAAAGACAGGCTGTCACTTTGTGTGACCTGGTCGTCTTGTTTGCATGATGACGATATTGTGTTTTCATTCAGCCTTTTAATTTATTTCAGTCTCCTTCCCCTCCCCAACCTCTTTCTCCTTCTTCTTTCCCTTCCCCAACCTCCACCAGCAGTGATGTCTTCATTGCACTTGGTTCAGTAGGGTATGCTGTTAGCAGCTGAAATTAAGCCTAGTATCAAGTGTCAGGCTTTTGTCACTTGTAGGGAGACATGAGGAAACACAGGAAAAAGAAATGTGGAAACTGTGCTGTTTCTTTGAAAAAAATATCCTCATTATGGTAAAGGCTATGAGGAATGTTTCTTGTACTCTAAATTTGAGCAGCAAACAGTTTGCAAGGCTGTTATTTGTAAAATGGGCAGCTCATGGCACAGAACAGAGAGTTTGTTCATGGATAAGTAAAGCCATTTTGCTCTTGCTGACAACTCAGTAAATTGTTTGACAGGTGGGAGCCTGCTCTTTTATTGGCTGGGTCCTTAATCTGTCACTATAAACAGGTTCTAGGACAGAGGCTTGGCTCAGTCCCAGCTTGCAAATATAGGCGGGGGGGGGGGGGGGGGGAGAGAGGTAAAAATTTCAGTCTTCCTACTAACTGTGTTACTTTCTATTGCTGACATTTTCTAACATTTTGAAATGTCGACAGTTTTAATGCTATAATGACTTTTGTGTTGGTTTAACATTCTTTCATCTGCTTTGGGTTTCTTTTTATAAGAGAGTAGAATGATATATTTGCATTAATAAATGTCAACAATATATTGCTTCAGCTTAAAGCATTTCATTTTTAAAACCACTGTGATGAGAAAATGGAGGGATGTAATATCCAGTGAAATCAGACTCCAAAGAAGAATCAGTGAGATGAAAAAAGTGTGTGTATGTGTGCATGCACACACACTTTGTAGTAGGCAATGACAGGAGGTCCTATAGATCAGTTATCCATTGCATCCAGAACACTCTACATCAAAATCAGATGGTATATATATATTTCAATTCAAGTTAATGGATCCCCAAAGGGACCCCAGGTTAAGAACTCCTGCTATATAAGGTTTGAGTTCAGTGTTTTACGGTGCCAGAAAGTAATTAATTGCACGATAGAGGATTTCAAGGTAAGAATGAATTTTTATAATAGCTGAATTAGTACAGACTCGTTTTCTCCAGTGAAAAAATGGATAGTCTGAACCTCAGGTCAGAGTGCCCACAGCCAGTAATAAAAGCTTATATTGTTTATGGTTCAGTTTCTAACATCTGTTGTTTAAACCATTCAGACTTGAGAGAGCACATGTCAAAATAAATATGACATTTGGACTGGCTGTACCTATGTCCTATCTCATTATAATGCATCTTCCTTGAAGTACTAGTAGCCCAAGATTAATCATGGCTTAAAAAACAAGATAACAGTTTAAAACTGACATGACTGGAACAGATAATGTAACAAACACTGACATCTTTCAGCTCAGGAAATCTACTATTTTCTTCCTTCAATAAGGTTTAGTTTTCTAATGAGGACATTGCATACCTTCTGGTACTGCTACTGTACCTTTAAGTTGCTTGTTGACTTATGGCAACCCCATGATTTTCATAAGATTTCTGAAATATAGCCTGTAGTGCCTGGTATTCACTAACGGTTTTCCCATCCAAATACTACTGCTGGTTCAGATAATTCTTGTTCTTTTTTGGCCACGTATTGTAGATACACAGGAGAGTCTGGTGGTGATGGTTATATTTTTGTAACAAACTGAGAGAGACTGAAAGATATAGCTTTATTAATGAGGCCAAAGAGCAATTAAAAACGTAGTATTTATTGGGCCAGTTCCCTGTTAATTGGTGGAAGCAACTTCATGAGTTGTATTAGAACTGTTTAGGTTTAAACATACAGAACAAAAACATAGACAGCAATACATGATAAGATAATGACTGTACGTGCTATTTACTACTTGATCTGTAGAATCAGTTTCTCATAAATACAAGAATAATATGTTCTAAGTAGAGATTAATTGAAGGCCTGTATGCCCAGATTTCAAGAGAGAATCCCCATTTTGTTGGGGATTCTACTTGATCTGTAGAATCAGTGTCTCATAAATACAAGAATAATATGTTCTAAGTAGAGATTAATTGAAGGCCTATGTGCCCAAATTTCAAGAGAGAATCCCCATTTTGTTGGGGATTCTACTTGATCTGTAGAATCAGTTTCTGATAAAAAAAATAACATGTTGTAAGCAGAGATTGTGTTAATTGGAGGCCTCTGTGCCCAGATTTGAAAAGAGAATCTCCATTTTGTTGAAGTTTTTGTATATTCTTTCAGTGAACTATTTCAATGAACTTTGGGGTACTTCTTTGTATTTCATACTAGTTGTATTTCCAAACCTTTGAGGACTCTCATAAAGCTGAAGGAAACAACTTGACTTAAAATGAAGATCAGTTTTGAAAACATGCCTGGTCAAAAGACAAATTCAGATTAAATAACTACAAGTGGAAGCATTATTCATCCCTAAATGGTGCCTGACTTAATCCCTCTTCTACTTTCCCCTCAACACTCTGCTTCCTCTTCCCGTCATACCAACATTTTAATTTGACCTCTTTGCTGTACACTGCAAATGGTTAGCATTCTTTTTGATCCATAGATGTCAGTCAGCAATTACTTAATATCCCGCCTACTTACCAATGGATTGTCAGGTCACCTGCATGCACACCTGCCTTTTAATTCACTGTCCACTTTTGATCTGTCAAAGAAACAAGGTTGGGCACCTGAGTAAATCCTCTTTTGAAACATGGAGTAATTACCTTACTTGTTAGCAAGTTAAGCTGACCTTGGAAGAGTTTTAATCAAATGCAGATGGATTCGACATTATTCTTTAACTGGAGCATTAGCCCAATATGCATACACCTCCCCATCCCCCACTGCAAAACAAATAAAAAACCCAAAGCATCCCAATACTTTTCTTTTGTCCTAATAATAATAATAATAATAATAATAATAATAATAATCTTTATTTATACCCTGCCACCATCTCCCCAGTGGGGGCTCGGAGCAGCTTACATGAGGCCAAACCCGAACAACAAATTACAATAAAAATAAAACCAGAACACAACCGAAAACGCAAACAGTAAACAGCAACATCATAATAAAATATAACATGTAAATACATAACAATATAAAGTTACAACAGACGCAATCACAATGACAATGGGCGGGCTGCATGTAATGATTAAAAGAGATACTAATTAAAATTAATTTAAAACTCGGGTGAGATAAAAAGAGACAGATTATTTGCGGAGGAGAGCTCATTATAGCGGGGATTGAGGAGTCAAGCTTTCCCACAGAGGGGGGACGACATATACTCCAATGACAGAACGTTGAGGCTAAGCAGTAGTGTGGGATTGTATACCTGCTCTCCAAAGGCGCAGCAGAAGAGCCAGGTTTTAAGGTCCTTTTTAAAGGTTTATAGGGTAGGGGCTTTCCTAATTTCTCCAGGTAGTGCGTTCCAAAGTTGGGGGGGCCACAGAGGAGAAAGCTCTCTCCCTTGTGCTTACCAGGTGAGCTTGTGAAGCTGGCAGGGGCGAAAGAAGGGTTTACACAAAGAAACATAAAAGAGGAACCAAGTTAAAGTAGAAATTAAATTAAATTTATGCTATAAGAGTGATGTTGGGTTTCATAATAAAGTAGCCGCCTATTTGTATGAGAATTCTCTCAGATGTTTTGCTGAATTAAAGAACTGCAAACTCTTTATTCTAACTTTCATTTGAACTAAGGGTCAGAGAGAAAAGATGCATGAAGCAGGAAGTTCAAGTTTTGCATGTTTCCCTCTTAAGATAATGGCCTTGTTCTTAAAGCTGGATTTTGAGAGCATTAGAAGCATGCATTCCATGTTTGTCTGATGTCATTGTGGCACCAAATACTTCTCTTTTAGATTTTGTGGGCCAGTCCTCTTTACTAATATGTGCTTTTTAATGAGCAGAAATATTTTCTTCATTGAAAATTGTCCCCCGCATCATATGTTCATAGGCAGATGGCATGACCACACTTGATTTTAAGCCAAACTTTTCTATCTTCAGTATGCTGGGCTTTGTGTTTTTCATTTTCTCTGCCGATATGATTTGATAAGCAGTTCAAAGACAACAAATGCCAACCAAATGTCATCTTTGACTTGGTCTTAGTTCAATGCTTACCAGGATTGATTCAGAAGTCACTGAACTGTTCCTCAAACGTGATGCCACATTGAGCAATGTTGCCAGAGGAATCAAATTAAAATAAGCAAAACTCTCAAAGTGCCCTTTCACGCATATTTCTAACCTATTTTGAACTTGTACTAGAAGTTTATGGACTTACGTGATATGGGCTTACACTTGCTAGTTGCTCCCACACACGATGTCAAACCATGGAACTTGGAACTAAGGATGCATCCTACGTCATTTTTCAGCTGTCCTGAGACCACCGTACAATAAGAGGAATGGCAAGCACCATTTGCTGGATAAGCAATTAGAAGAATTCTGGTAGAAGAAATGTCAAAGCAGTTTTGCTCACTGTGCAGTTGATAAAGCTCCTGTGTAGCCTCCTGTGACAGTATCTGAAGGATTAAATAGTCATTTGTGACTAAAGCAATTGGGTAATTTCAGGGTTTTTTTTTCTTGACCTACCCAAACACAATACACTCAGGTCTCTACATGTGCTGGGTTTAGGAGCACAGTACCCCCATTAATGTGAAGAAACATGAATAAATAAATTGATACTGATATCTCTAAGACTTTCTAGGTCTTCCAGCACAATTCTGTGGCTGGCTTCCATATAAGGAGGAGCCCCCGTTGGCACAATGGGTTAAACCCTTGTTCCGGCAGGACTGAAGACTGACAGGTTGGAGGTTCAAATCCGGGGAGAGTGTGGATGAGCTCCCTTTGTCAGCTCCAGCTCCCCATGCAGCGACTTGAGAGAATCCTCCCACAAGGCTGATCACAAAATCACACTGAA